ACATGACAATAATAAATCAATACATATCAGTTATAACCATCAATGTCAATGGCCTCAATTCACCAATCAAGAGAAACAGATTGGCAGAATGAATTAAGAAGCAAAATCCAACAATATGTTGTATACAAGAAACACACCCAGTGCAAAAAGAAGCCCATAGACTGAAAGTGACAGAATTGAAAACAATTCTCCATGCGACAGGAGCCCAGAAAAAAGCAGGGGTAACAATCTTATTTGCAGACAAAGTAAATTTCAAATGAAAACTGATTAAGAGAGACAAAGAAGGCCATGATATCCTTGTAAAGGGAACAATTCAAGAGGAAGAAATGACAATCATTAACATATATGCACCAAATCTAAATAGCCCCAACTATATAAAACAAATATTAAATGACACGAAAAACCAAATAAGCACTAATACAATTGTAGTAGGGGATCTAAATACCCCACTATCATGAATAGTCAGATCATCTAGGCAAAAAATCAACAATGAAATACTAGAACTGAACCAAGCTTTTGAATGCATGGACTTATTAGATGTCTATAGAGTGTCCCACCCCACAAAATCAGGATATACATTCTTTTTAGCTTCACATGTCATTCTCCAAGATCACGTATTAGCTCGCAGAACAGGTTTGAATAAATGCAAAAGAATTGATGTTATTCCCTGTATATTATCAGATCACAGTACAATAAAGCTGGAGATCAATAGTATAAGAAACCATAGGAACTTCACAAACTCATGGAAATTGAACAACACTCACCTGAACAATCAATGGATCACAGAGGAAATTAAAGAAGAAATCAAACAGTTTTTACAAATAAATGAAAATGCCAATACAATATACAGGAATCTATGGGACACAATGAAAGCAGTTCTACATGGAAAATTCATAGCACTGAATGCCCACATTAGGAAAACAGAGCAAGCTCAAAAAACCTAACAATGAATCTTAGACTCCTAGAAAAACAAGAGCAAGAAAAACCCAAAGCTCGACCAAGAGAGGAAATTATAAAGATTAGAGCAGAAATCAATGCAATGGAAACTAAGAAAATGATACAAAAAAATAAATGAATTGAAAAGTTGGTTTTTTAAAAGAATAAATAAAATAGATAAACCCTTAGCAAACTATGTCAAAAAAAAAAAAAAAGAAAAAAAAGAAAAGAAAGGCTCAGATCCATGCACTCAGGAATGAAAAAGGAGAAATCACAACAGATCCCACAGAAATCCAGAGGATCATTAATACCTACTTTGAGAACCTGTACTCTAATAAAATGGAAAACACAGAAATGGACAGATTTCTAGATACTTATGAATCAGCAAAGTTGAACGAAGAAGATAAAAACATTTTAAACACCCCAATTACAATCAGTGAAATTGAAAATGTAATTAAAAACTTACCAACAAAGAAAAGCTCAGGTCCTGATGGATTCACTGCTGAATTTTACAAGACATTTAGAGAAGAACTACTGACATTACTCTTCAAACTTTTCAATGAAATCGAAAGGGAAGCAATACTTCCAAATTCATTCCTGGAAGCAAGTATCACTTTGATTCCGAAACCAGGGAAAGATGCAACTAAAAAAGAGAACTACAGGCCAATCTCCTTAATGAATATAGATGCAGAAATCCTTAATATGATACTAGCAAACAGAATAGTGAGGATGATCAAGAAGATCATACATCCTGACCAAGTTGGATTTATTCCAGGGATGCAAGGATGCTTCAACATATATAAATCAATAAATGTAATACATTATATTAACAAAGTCAAGGACAAAAACCACATGATCCTCTTGATAGATGCAGAAAAAGCATTTGACAAAATTCAACACCCATTCATGATAAAAACCCTGCAAAAAATTGGAATAGACAGTCTATATCTCAACTTAATAAAGGCTATTTGTGAAAAACCAACAGCCAACATCATATTAAATCACGAAAAACTGAAAACCTTCACATTAAAATCAGGAACAAGACAAGGATGCTCACTATCACCACTCCTCTTTCATATAGTTCTGGAAATATTAGCCATAACAATTAGACAAGAGAAAGAAATTAAAGCAATAAAGATAGGAAAGGAAAAAGTTAACCCATCATAATTTGCTGATGATATGACTCTACATTGAAGACCCAAAAAACTCCACCAAAAGACTTCTTGACTTAATTGATACTTTTAGCAGAGTAGCAGGATACAAGGTCAACACCCAAAAATCAATAGCCTTCTTGTACACAAATAACAGACTTACTGAGTGAGAAATTAGGGAAATAATTTCTTTCACAATAGCACCCCCAAAAATGAAGTATCTGGGAATCAATCTAACAAAAGAAGCAAAAGACCTCTACATTGAAAATGACAGCACTCTGAAAAAAGAGATCGAAGAGGATATAAGAAAATGGAAAGATATTCCCTGCTCTTGGGTAGGAAGAATTAACATAGTGAAAATGGCCATACTACCAAAACTGCTCTACAGATTCAATGCAATGTCAGTTGAAATTCCAACACTATACTTCACAGAACTAGAAAGAAGAATCCAAAAATTCATTTCGAACCATAAGAGACGTAGAATAGCAAAAGCCATCCTAGGCAACAGACATGGCAGTGGGTATAACAATTCCCAATCTGAAACTATACTACAAAGCCACTGTGATAAAAACAGCATGGTACTGGCAAAGAAACAGACCTGAGGATCAGTGGAACAGACTGGAAGACACAAAAGCAACTCCATATGTACTCAGCTACCTCATCTTTGACAAAGGAGCTGCCAGTCCCCACTGGAGGAAAGATAGCCTCTTTAATAAATGGTGTTGGAAAAACTGGATCTCAACCTGGAAAAGATTAAAACTAGACCCTTATCTTTCACCATGAACTAAATTAAAATCAAAATGGATTAAAGATCTAAATATTAAAACAAACACTGAACTTGCTGGAAGATAAATTAGGCAGAACTCTTGAAGACATTGGCATAGGAAAAGACTTTATGAACAAATCCTTAGTAGTGTGGGAAGTAGCAGAATGAACAACTGGGATCTCATTTTATTAAAAAGCTTCTGTGCTGCAAAATAAACCATCAACAGAATTAAGAGACAACCTACAATGTGGGAAAATTTTTATCAGCTGCTCCTCAAAGGACTATTATCTAGAATATATAAAGAACACAATCAGCCCCCCAAATATAAAGACCCAATTCAAAAATGGGTATCTTAAATGAACAGACATTCCTCAGACAAAGAAGTAAAAGCAGCAAGTAAATATATGCAAAATGTTCCACATCACTGGTCATTCGAGAGATGCAGATGAAAACAACACTGAGATTTCACCTCACCCCACAAAGAATGGCTGCTATCAAGAAATCAACCAATAACAAATGTTGGCAGGGTTATGGGGAGAAAGGAACCCTTCTCCATTGTTGGTGGGAGTGCAGACTGGTGCAACCACTATGGAAACCAATATGGAGATACCTCAAAGATCTGGGACTAGAGGTTCCATTTGACCCAGCCATCCCTCTGCTGGGTATCTTCCCAAAAGAATTAAAGTGAATATACAACAGTGATATATGTGCATCAATGTTTATAGCAGCACAGTTTGTAATAGCTAAAACTTGGAAACAGCCCATTTGCCCATCTGTTGGAAACTGGATAAAGAAGATGTGGTTTTTCTATAAAATGGAATACTACTTAGCCACAAACAATGATAAATTAGAGTCATTCATAGGAAAATGGATACATATTAAGGATATACTCTTAAGTGAAATAAATAAGTCACACATATGTAAGTACCGAATAGTTTCTCTGGTGTGAAAAACTATAATAGTACATAAGATCCTAATGAGATAATTAACAATGTGCAATAGGAAGAAAAGGGCTAAAGGTGTAGGGAAAGTGGGAAGGGTAGGGGAAAGGGAACAAGGGAAAAGAAAATAACATGAGAAAATGAAAAAATGGAAATAAAGTGTTTGTAAATGGGGAGGAATGGAGGGGGTGAAGGGAGGGCAGAGACAAGGGGGAAAAGTGAGAACCAAGACCTGTCATGTGAAGGTACAGGATCCCAGTAATGAATGTAACTGTATTGTATACCTAGATTGTACCAATAAACTCAATAAAAAGAAAAAAATAAAATAAAATGAAAGGAAATGTTTATTACAAAGCTACTGATGTTATCTCTGAGGTGGTGATAGTTCTGTGAACAGACAGGGCACACAGGAGTCTCAGAGTGATGTCCTGTTCTGCTTCTTAGTTACTAACCGAGTGTTTATTTGATATTTATTCATTAAATTATTCACTCAAGTTTCTGTACTTTCTTGACTGCTATGTTGCACCTTAAGAATCACAAAGGGATGTAGTTTGTGATGTCATATTTAGCAATATGTCTTGAGGAAATTTTTATTCTGAAAGTATTTGTATTTTTAAGGCTCCAGATTCACACTCTCCGACATTTAAAGAAGCATCTCTTTTCTCAAGGTATCCTGCAGTCCAGTTTTTAGGAGATGCTATAATATCAGTAAGCAACCATTTTAGAGGAACATGGAAAGGCATATGATCAAGAGGCTGCTCTGAAGGTGCCATCCTGCTTGGCTGCTCTGCTCTTTTAGTGTAAAATAGATTTTATTTCTAAATTTATGAAAAGCTAATCTCCATTCTTGGGCTTATACCATATAATTTACTAGATGGCTGTTGTGAGAATATAATGAGATAATAAATGGTAGCTACTGTGGCTTTTTATAAAACAAGAAAATAATAGCATAAATGATTACTCTAGAACCAGAAAGTGTTTTTTTTTTTTTTAAATTATTGCTTCTTTGTTTTGTTTTTGTACCAGGGATCGAACTTGGGTCTGTGCACAGAGAGTGATTTTTAATTGCACAAATTTTGGGAAGAACTAATGATAGTTTAATATGGTTTTCTATTTGGAACATTTTCTTGTTGTTTGTTTTCTTTTTCTTTTCTTTTTTTGACAATGGATACTAACCTCTCCCTCCTCTACCTCCTTATATCCCAGGACTTTTATTTACTCATTTCTCACTAGAGGGAGGCCTTATCCAGCAGTGATCCTTTTCCAAGGAATAGTCTTCTGCATTGGAAATGGATTCCTTCAAAGCTACTATCTGATCTACTGTGCAGAATACCCTGAAGAGTGGTTCACAGATATCCGGTTTAGCTTGGGTAAGTGAACCTGACCGCTTCTCACCCCTGTCCAGCTAACATCCCCTACTTCCATATAAGCCATCATTTCCTCTCCCCTAGTGACCTCCTAGTGATCCCACACTCCTCTCACCCTTCTACTAGAGTCTTTTTTTTTTCTGTATTGCAGCCATAGAGATCGTTCAGATGTTCTTGATCTTGTCTGCATACATAACGGTGTTTCATCTTTGCAAACAGTGCAACACCTCCTCCACCTGAACTTGGGACCATATCATAGGACCCTTCCTCGATTTAGAAATTAAATATTCCTCCCTTCATTTTTAGAAGGAAAAAAACAAACCACAAAGCTAAACTTAACTTGTATAAAAACCACTGGAATTGGAACGCATTTTTCTTTTTCTTTAACATTTCTCCTCTCTCTCCTTTGCCAAGGTGTCTTCCTGTTTATTTTGGGAATGGGAATCAACATTCATAGTGACCATACCTTGCGCCAGCTCAGAAAGCCTGGAGAAGTCACTTACAGGATTCCACAAGGTAATGTCCCCCTGCTTCCCAGATTCCCATTCCTCCTTGGAGCCTGTCCTAGGCATAAACTAGAGCAACAAATGAACAGGGGCATCAAAGGCACAAATATACAACGTGTGCTGCCTCGCTGCTGACTTCCCTTCCACACCTGGCCCTCTCCATGGTACATCTGCGTTTCTCATCTGAACCCAGAAGCTCAAGAGAGCTAAAGAGTCCCTAGGAAGGAAGAGTACAGCACCCCGAAGATGGGAGAAGTGTCCTTATTCAGCACACCACGATACACTTTTTGGAGATAAAGACAGAGAATGTTTGCGATCCTAACTGTTCCCAAGAAACTCAGGTGTAAGTCTGACAAATAAGCATGTGGCAAGGAATCCAGTTCAAGGAATCCTTTAATGTATTTAGGTGGGTTAATGGTTCTTACCGTTCTTAATGTAAACACTTTATTTACAGTAAAAACAAAATCCCTCAGTTATGACATTGAAACGGCAGACTTGCCGTTCCGTTGATAACAGCTCCTTCCCACTAGTCCAGAAGGATGGAAAGCTCACCAGGAGACACGGAGACAAAGTAAAGCTTTATTTAACACCGGTGGACCAGTCTTCATTGGCACCCGGGATACTGGCGCCGTCCACTGCTCAGCAAAGGAGGTTACACTCTTTGGGAGGGGTCGGGTTACAGATAAGGCACATCTGACCTACATTTATTGGTTACAGAGTTTGAATATTTATTAGCAGGGGGGCTCAGTCATGGTTTGCCTCACACATGATGCTGGCAACATGCTTAGAGGGTAATTTAGGATATGAGGCTTATATCTCATTTGCATTCTGGTGAAGTGACAAAATTCTTCTAGAGACAAAGACATTCCTGAGCTCGGACATATGTGAGGCAGGACAGACCCGGACATGTTGAACAAAGAAAATTTCAAGTAGGGAATTTCCCCTTAGTAAGCCCAGCTTGAACCATGGAGATTTCCCCTTTCAATATGCTAGTATAAATTGATATCCATTAATTGAGAAAATAAGGAAAAAACTACTAAGAGTTCAGCGATACATTTAAGTAATTTGACTATTTTTAATACCCTGTTGGTATCTACCTTAAAATTAATATAGCAGGTAGAGAAATACCCTTTAGTATATCTCTAGTTGTAGGTAGGGAATCACTGATACACTGTCACCCTAAAGCAAAATAATTTTAAGGCACCTTGATATTTTATAAGGTCTTTCTTTACTCAATAACTAGACAAAGAAGAGCGTAGAAAATTCTTAAATACCATATTGAACTTTTGAGTTATGATAGAAAATAAAAATATTTCTGTAGAACTATAGGAAGAAAAAATTGTTTTGGTCAAGATTTCCCAGTTTAATATGAGTGCAGATATATTGAATATCATTAGAAATGTTCTGATTTCTAGATACAGTTTGGACAGAGGAAATACCTGGTTGGGTGGAAAGTGAAACACAGCAAAAGCAGACCTCAGCAGTGCCTGGTGGGACAAGCAGTGTCAGAGTCCAGGGCTTAACGGAGATGCAGGAGTGGCAAGAGGGGGTAGGAGCAAACGCCAAAAGAGACTCTGACTACTTCTCACGTCAATCCAGATTTTTACTATTTTAAAGCAGTGTCATTTCACTCAGTGTGACTAAGAGTGTGCGGTATGCTGACTGGCAGTGGAAGTATCTGAGAAGGAGTGGGAGAGTAAGAAATGCCCATAAGCTTCCCTTAATAAAAACAAGCAGGCCACCACAGTTCCGCCACAGTTCTTATCCAACAGTTAGCCACTTGGATAGAGCCCATCAAGCAGGTGTGGCCACTCCTCAGGATTCCAAATATTCTATGGGCAATCATGCTATTGCTTTGTTTTCCCTTTTTCCCAAGAAAATTTCACTAAATTCCTACGGCTGTGCAAGGAGGGTCCAGCCCCGTTCTTGTCCTGGTTGCCTATGTTTTGGCACGGTGGGGGTCTAACATCACAGTGATTCGGTTCTGAGTGTGGAATGTGATTCTTGTGCACACAGGTGGCTTGTTTACGTATGTTTCTGGAGCGAATTTCCTTGGTGAGATCATTGAATGGATCGGCTACGCCTTGGCCACTTGGTCTCTTCCAGGACTTGCTTTTGCATTTTTCTCACTCTGTTTCCTTGGGCTTCGAGCTGTTTACCACCACAGGTAAGGCAGGCTTCCTTTCCCTTTTTTCCTTCCTCCCCTGTCCTTCCTTCCTGGGGATCAAATCCAGGGCCACTCTGTCACTAAGCTGCATCCCCAGCCCCTTTTTTTGTTGTATTTTTATTTTTATTTTGAGACAGGGTCTCACTAAATTGCCTAGGTGAGACTTGAATTTGCTATTCTTCTGCCTCAGCCTCCCTGGGGGCTGGGGTTACAGATGTGCAGCAACTACACCTGCTAAACTTTTCAATAGAGGTGGCAGGATCCATGTAGTTTTCCAAACAGGTGTTTAGCAATGGAGTCAGAGTTAGAGACCTAAGGCATTTAGTTTCATAAGAGAAACATGATACAATACTTTGGATTGTTAAATTCTGACTTTTTAAAAGCAGTACATTTTTTTTTTTCTCCTAAGACGAAAAATAAGCCCAGGGAGACAGGCACCCAAGGTGACCACTGAGGAGCTCATTTAAGACTTCCCAGCGAGGGGTGCCTCTTATCACTTAGGTTAGTTAAGCCAGGCTTGGGTCTGGTGATAGTTACTGTTTGGCACTCAGCAATAGATAACAAAACAAATTAAAAGGTAGAAGAAGAAAATTCCATTCGCGTGCTCCCATTCGAATCCCTCCCGCCACTTTTCCACAGGTGAGTCCATGGCCAGCATTTTCCAAAACTTCACTGATAATTCTGAGGTGCCGACTGGATGTAGGACCACTGGGAATAAGTGTGAGCCAGGTGCCTTACCGCTGCTCTTTTTTTTTGGTGGCAGTGGTGAGGTTTAATTTAATTGGAAGTTTGGTGCTAACAGTTCAGGTAATCACAGAGCCCTGGAAGGATTATTTTAGAATCCGTGCAATACCAGGGCTTGTTCTGATGCTTCTCTCTTTCCCCCACTGCCTCTCTCCCTAACTCCCAGCCAAGGTCTTCGCTGTCCACCTGGGGAACGCAGTGGGTAAGCAGTTGGTGTGTGCAATTGTTTTAGGATTGCCCCCTCTTCTGGTATGAGCCGGGATTGCAGGCACTGAGAACCCTCAGAAGGTTAGGTCTACTTGCTTCCTTGACCCCTTCTAATCAGGGATGGGACAAAAGAGGTAATTGAAAGTATCATAAGAAGGGAAAGGGTAATGTACTAAGTTGTTGTCGGGATTTAAACCTATGCATGCATTTCAGATCTTGGTCCAAAATTGGCTTTTGGGGAAAGAGAAAGCCTGTGGTTACCGGAGACTGAGGGAGACTGGGTGCCAGAAGGGAGACGGACTAGCATCTAGGACTCTGGGGAAACCCCTCAAGCTCTTGCTTTGTTGTCTCAGCCTGGAACACAGTTCACTTATAGTTTTGAAGGTTAAACAGAAAGCAGGCCTTCTGTGTGGAATTTATGGCCCAACTCAGAGATGAATGAAGCCAGCATTCCCCTGCCAACCTCTACTCTCAGCCGGCATGGGTGACAGAGGGATTGCCTCACTGTTTAGAGTCACACAACAGCTCTCCCCCACCACAGGCAGCGGGGGTGGGAGAGAGGACGGGGTGTCACCTAGCACCTAGAGGGGCCCTGAAGAGCACGGACCCTTGTGTTTGCTGTGGCAAGGGACAGCAGCACCACCAAATGTTTTCAGCTGGTGCAAAAACACAATCCAAATGGATACCATCTGGTTATGAAAGACTGCCCGGAGAGAGGGCCAGAGGATGTCTCTTTTATAGGACTGAAGTGGCCTTGTGACAGCACTTATGAAACGAGGTCAGGCATTCCCAGCAGAGGCCACACACACTGTCCTCTCAAACCAAAACCCGAAAACCAAGCACCTCCTGCACACAGTGTTACTGATTGTCCTCCAGTTCAAACTCAGGTACTTCAACAGACTGTATCATCTTGATTACACCCTGCGCACAACCAACATCGCCTAGTGTACAGTGCAACCTGGTAACCGCAAGTGAAGGCTTTCTATGAGATGCATTTGTCTCGTAGGGCTGCTGTAAGAAACGCCCGCCATCTGAGTGGCTCAGAATGACAGGCAGTTATTCTCGGATGGTTCTGGGGTCTAGAAGTTAGAAATGAAGGTGTAGGCAGACCCCTTGCTCACTGTGACAGCTCAAGGATCCTTCCTGCCTCTTCTGAGCTCTCGTGGAGACTGGCCATCCTTGGGATTCCCTGGCTGACAGCTGCCTCACTCCGATCTCTGCCTCTGGTGTCACAAGTTCTCTTCTCCCGTGCATGTCTGTCTCTGTGTCCCTGTTTCTCTTCCTTTAAGGGTACCAATCATACTGGATTAAGGGCCCATCTTGCTTCAGTGTGACCTTATTTTAAATAATTATTGCTGCAATGATCCTAGCTCCAAAATAAGGTCACCTTCTCAGGTACTGGGATTTAGGGTTTCAGTCTATCGTTTGGGGGGACCAAATTGAACCCAAATACTGCGGTGTTCCTAGGCTTCATGAAGGAATATTTCACTGGGATTCTCGGAGGTTAACTTTGCTCGTGGCCTTTGGGAGCCTCTGCTTCTGTATATTTCTCAGTTGAATCCAAAGGAGTACTTCTTTCCGGCTACTGCACTAGAAAATTCTGCTAAAATATGCGTAACATGGGATTTACCATCTTAACAACTTTTAATATAAAATTCAGTGGCATTAAGTGTATTCATAATATAGTGCAACCATCGCCACTGTTGGCTGTGACTCTATTTCCCAACACAAGAAGAATCAGCATTTAAAAGAGAGGCTGGGGGCAAGAGAAGGAATGCAGGCAAGTGGCCACACCCGGAGTAGCCAGGCCCTGGTAACTGCAGGTTGACTTGTAACGAGTACTTCAGGCAGTTGAAAACTTCACCTGATGAGCTGCTCTGTTATATTCTCGCTACTCCTTTCTTGTCTTCTAGGTTCTACTGCAAGGTGTTTGAGGACTACCCGAAATCTCGGAAAGCCCTCATTCCATTCATCTTTTAGAGAAACCCAGTGAAAGCGGAGCAGAGGTCACACAATACCAGTGGAAACTGTCAAGCTGCTGAAAGTGTGATTTGTAAAGTTCCACCATACACATATATTAAATATACACATACACGGATGCATGTAACTATACTGATATCCATATAAAACACACATAATATCAGGTCTCCTGTTCTGCCTGCTGGCGTGAATTCTGAATGGTGCCTGCTTAACATTCTCCCTCCCTGCCGGGGACTGTAACCTAATTTCCCATTGGAGCTTCAGAGAAGCTTTCTCCAGATGAAGACCGTTTCTTAACTATCCCTAGAAAGTACAAAACTCCCCTCATGTGTTTTTCTCATTGGATGATCTGAGTCCATGTGGCTTCTTCCTGCTCTGAATCCTTGTGGGCCAGCTCTGTAGTTGAGACTGTTTTGGGTAAGGCAGTGCTCGTGAGCTTACTAAAGGTGTATATATTCTGTACTTACACACAACAGTAGAGATTTAAATTCTGAATCCATGTAATGTCAAGCATAGCCACTCCTAAGTGAAAACCTAGCTATTCCTTCTCTTTCCTTGTCAATTAGGAGAAATATAAGACCAGATGTTGAATAAAGAAGTCTTCCTTATGTGGGTGAAAAGGTACTGGCACCTTGACTCCGGTTAAAATCTGTGTCTTCACTGATGAACACCGTGGTCTTCCAGAAGATTCCGCAATCCCCACTATAGACAACATAGCCTGATCCAGAAGACTGGTGTGGGTTTTCTTAAGGACAAGGCTTTAATGGCCACAAAGAAAAAGACATGGACCTGAATGGCTCCTGAGAGAATTAAGGAATGCTTTGTGGGGGACACTGCAAACTCTAATGTTCTAGGAGACTGATGGGAAATGTCACACAGGAGAAGCCAGTAAGACTCATGACATTTGTCTTGACGAGGTGTCTACGATGACATGACATCTGAAGTACTGAGCAACTTTCCTCTTCTAGAATTTCGTCCCCACGGTCCTTAGGAACACAAGTCCCAGGGGTACCTGAACTTCAGCCCTCAAAGGTCTCAACAGAAGAAGCTGAAAACTACAGACAGAGACCCAAATCCAGTCTGAAAACCTGCTTTGTGTTGGTCAGTGTTTCACACATAGCTTGATTTTTTTTTGCATTTAAAATTTTCAAAAATCTAAGGATTAGGATGTTTCTGTGGAAAACTTTGACCTTCTAATTTCCTTTAAAAAGCTGGAGGACTTCAGTACACAAAAATCCAAGTTTCTATATGAAAATCTGGAACGGAGTAGTAAGTAAGCGTTGCGAGGTTTTAAGGAGGGCTCACCCTGCTGTGGGGCACTGAGGTACTGGACTCTTTGTGGAAGGGATCAGAATACAGGGAAGATCCTGGTCTGTTCAGGCCCAGGTTGTGGTTGAGATTGGTACTATTTAATAAACCTGCTTGGGAACTGAGCACCAGTTTTATCAAATGTGGTGCTAAGTACAGAAACTCACTATGTCACATGCACAGGTAACTGGAAAGATCAAAGGTTGGTTAGAGGGTAGATTACTAAAAAAAAAACAAAACAAATTATAATTACATAAATAAGTGGTTCATTAAACACCTGTCAAATCATAGATATTAAATAAGTTTATTTGAATTAAAAGATCCTAATGGGCCAGGGATGTAGCTCAGGGGCTGTGCACCACTGCCTGGCAAGCACAAGATCCTGAGTTTGATCCCCGGTACCAAAAAAAAAAAAAAAAAAAAAAAAAAAAA